AGAGATCTATAATAGGTAGAATGGGATGAAATAGCAAAACCTGTATTATATATAGTATTTGGTGATACTCAAGTCTTCTGGGAAGGCCTATGGTATAGCTTGGACCCAAGATGAACCTTGAGGGCGTGTAGGGTTTGAATAAATGAAAAGGAAGAGGAAACGAGAATTAGCAACATCCTAAGGGAAAGAGTAAAAAGCATAACAGAATACTGTTAACAATAGAAGAAAGAGTGTTGATCTTTGAATATATAATTTCTTGGAAAAGGGCCAGAGTAAACTTTGTGTTGGAAATTTGTGTTGGTAAATACTAGCTGAAAATTCATTGTTTAAGATTATATGTATAAATCATGGAGAACCTTGAAAGTCAGCATATGATTGCTATATTGTGAGCAGGGCTCTCTGACCTATTAATAGCAGCATAGAAGATAGATCTAGATACGCTGGTCAGAGTAGACCAGAGAATGACCAGAGACAGGGATACCAGCTAGGAGGCTGCCCAATAGGTGGTGAAGGGATGAACCAAAGTAAAAGGAGTGGAGATAGATAAAGGAAGAATTGAATTGGAGACATATTTCAAAGGAAATATCAGTGGGATTTAGTGACAGAGTCAACAGAGTGAAGAGAATGGATAGCCCTAGGGGTTTGATGCCAAATGACTGAGAAAATGGTGGCAGTGTGTTCAGAAACTAATTTGGGACTTACTTGGGAGATGGAGAATGAATTTTTGTAGAGATGTGTCCTTGAGGTAGTAGGAAGTGTGAAATGGTAGCATAGGTGAAAGGTCAGGGGTGAACAGACAAGTGTAATCAACACAGTTTTGTGAGCTCTCCAAGAAGGGCGACAGAAAGATACCAGCTCAGAATGTTGCAGACTCAGCTTTTAGAAGCTTGTGAACACTTGCTTAGCAGGAGGAAGGAGGAAGAAGAGTTATGGTGACCGAGGAGGTGAAGAAAATAGAAAGTAAGAATGGTGTATACCATCAAAGAAAGAGAAAGCCTCAAGAGGACAGGACAGTCGTCCTGAACAGGCTACTTCCCATCTCAGACTGTGTGTGTTCAAATCCTACCGCTGTCACTTATCAGTTACATGTTATTTCAAAAGTTTTGTTCTCTCTCTTAGTTCATCATTTCTAAAATGCTGATAATCTACCTCATAAGAATATTTTGAGGATTAAATGAGAAAATGTATAGAAAATACTTAACACAGTATCTAGCACAGATCAGAAATTAACAGATATAATTGATGACTTTTAAGGAAACAATAGAATGGTAAAAGAAGAAAAAATTGCAAGATATTAAAGAAGAACTGAACATTGAGAAAAGACAATAAATATTGAGAATTTACTAGGTTAGGTATTCTTTGGCTAAAAATTATGAGAGATCACAGAACTAGAAGAGGCAATGGAGTGAAGTAAAGGTTTTGCTTAAGCCTAGTCTATACTAAGCAAGAGTTATCATTCTTAGTGTTGTCATGGAAGCCTATTTCATTAGGATTGGGCTATTTTTCATTTACATTAGGACAATTGAGCCTTCAAAATAGAAATAAAAGAATTACACTGCTAAAAGATTATGTTAAAATATATGTGAACAGTAAAAGGGTGCAGCCTCTGTGGACAACAGTATGATGGGTCTGCAAAAATCAAAAATAGAGCTACCATTGATCTAGTAATCCCCCGATTGGATATATACCCAAAAGAATTGAAAGCAGGGACTCAAAAAGATATTTGTATACCCCTGTTGATAGCAGCATTATTCACAACAGCGAAAAGATGGAGACAACCCAAATGTTCAACAACAGATGAATGGATAAACAAAATGTGGTGTATACCTACAATGCAATGATATTCAGCTTGAACAAAGAAGGAACTTTGGACATATGCTACAGCATGGATGAATCTTGAGGACATTGTGCTAAGTAAAATAAGCCAGATACAAAAGAACAAATATTTTATGATTTCACTTCTACAAGGTACCTAGGGTAGTTGAATTCATAAAGACAGAAAACAATGCTTTCTGTTTTCTGTCTTTATGAATTAAGAAGGAAATGGGGAAATGGAGAATTATTGTTTAATAGATAAAGAGTTTTAGTTTATGAAAATTAAAAAGTTTTGGAGATAGATGGTGGTGATGGTTGTACAACAATGTGAATGTACTTAATGCCACTGAACTGGACACTTAAAAATGGTTAAAGTAGTAAACTTTATGTTAGGTATTTTATCATGATTTAAAAATGAATATATATGCAGACAATATGAGAAAAATAAGACAATGCTATTTGCTAGATAAAATGTATTGAAAAGTTATCAGACAATCAACTTGTATTAGTAACTTTTAAAATTATGAAATATTTCACACAATAAAATGCATAATGTACAGAGGCATAAACATAATGAAAAAAAATCTATGCAGCCATCATTAAGCTTAAAACATAGAATATTACTAATAGTATTGGGATCCCTGTTACATCTTCCTCAAGATACCCCTCTCCTTCCTTGACACAAGATAACAGCCATTGCGAATTTGTGCTTATCATCTGTTGCTCTTTATTATACTATTATGGCATATGTATGTAACCCTAAACAATAACTTGCCTATGCAGCCATTATCGTGAGAGTCAACCATGGTGATGTCTGTAGCACGCTCATTGAGAACTGTGCTATCTTCTCAATGAATTGAAGCTTTCATCATTATGTAGTGACCCTCTTTACTCCTTATAATACATTTTGCCTTAAAGTCTCTTCTGTCTGGTATTAATATGCCTACATCAACTTTCTTTGGGTTATTATTTGCCTATTTAATTATATATCCTTTTTTCAAGTGTATTTTTAAATATGCTTTTATTAATTTTAGAGAGAGAGGATGGGAGAGAGAGAGAGAGAAACATCAATGAGAAAGAAACATCAATTGGCTGCCCCCTGAATGCCCCCTGCTGGAGATCGAGCCCGAACCCTGGAGCATGTGCCCTGAGCAGGAATTGGAACAAGCAATTTCCTGGTGCATGTGTCGAGGCTCAACCAACTGAGCCACACGCAGCTGGGCTCCTATATCCTTCAGTCGTCCTGTCTCTATGTCATTTCAGATGTGCCTATAGCTGAATTTTTTTAAAAACTCCACTCTGATAATTTGTGTAATTTTACTGGTACATTTATCACTGTTTCTTTTTATTGTGATTGCTGATATATATGGATTATTTTCTGTCATGTTATTTATCCACTTTTCCTTCTCCTTTCTTCTTTTTGACTGATCAAGTTGTTTTGCTGTTGTTGTTTTTAATTCTTTATCTCTTCTTTACTTGTTTTGTGGTGATAGTACATTTATAGCAATTACCCTTGAAATGTTACTGTGTGTACTTGCATACTTGACTGTTTATAAAGTCTAAAATTAATATCTTTATACTCCTCTTCCTCCAAATAAAAGGACAGAAAGTAAAACGTTATAATAGAGTACCATCAATCTGAGGCCACTTTAATTTTTTGTCTTGAGGTTTTCCAAGCAGGCTGGTGGGTGGTATAAATTTAAAACTTAGGCCTAGTGTGTGGTTACAAACTCGTGGGAGAGACTGTCTTACCCCCAACAAGAAGCAACAATGGAAACAGATTTCTGTGTCGGTTCCCCTGCCAGTAGGCAGGTATCTTTGAGACAGGCCCGTAAGCCAGGACAAGTGGAACAGGGAAACTGAGACAGACAGGAACAAACTGGCAGAGCAATTTACAGCAGATACAGAAGGTCACCTCCCTAGAGATAACATCTGGGCCTCAGTTGTATTTCAGCTCCAGATCGGGAAGAACAGCAAAACCAGGTAGGTAACACCAGGACTAGCTGCACTGGCACTGACCAATCAGTGAGGACCAGGACCCTGAAGGTGCACACATAGAAAACTGATGAATGTTCTGTTCAAACCCTCTCCTGAGACCTCCCCTAAGATTCCACCTGCAAGAGAGAAATAAAAGCCTCAAGACAAAGGACTGACAATAGTCCACCCTTTCACTCTAAGGGTCTGTGAACCTTGGAGGGTCTCAGGTTGGAGAGGGTGTGCAGTGGTAAGAGAGACGTTCAGTTCAGCTGTTTGCATTTTGTGGGCCCAAGAGCTGGTCTGTTCCCAACTAACCTGGCCATTTGTCTGAAAAGTTCAAGTTTCTGGCATCTATATTTGCCCCTAATTTTGACATTCACTTACCATTCTGGTTTCTGCTTATGTCACTTTCTTGCAACTTAACAAGGAAATTTGGAAGGTAGAGGTTGCTGGGATTTGTCTAACATCTAGGTGTTGTTTGAAGAAGGGCTTTTCAGAATATCTATACTCTTTCTCTACTAACAAGCTGACAAAATCTTTTAATCTGTTATTTGTGTAGAAACCTGTATACCATTTTCATATTTTGTTTCAATTTGTCCTGGAACTTTTTAGTGAAATGTATACACTTTTTTTCTTTTACAATTAGATTGGATAAGTACATACAGATATAAAGAGAGATGTTCATGAAATGGCTACTTAATGATTGATTTTATTTGGACATAACCTAATGTCAAATAATAGAGGATTCACAGAGTAAATCTTGCTATACTCTTATTTGGCCAATAAGAGTTGCATGACATGGAAGATGTTCATGATATGCTGTGGAGTAAATACACTGTTTTGCATGGCCCCATTTTTATTTATGCAAATATATAATTGCATTGAAAAATTCTGGAAGAAGACACCCAATATTTTGGGGTGACATCATTAGAAGATATTTTTTGCTTACTTCTTGTTGATCTATACTTTTAAAATGTGTTTTTTATGTTAAAGGACAGAATTATTTACAGCAACAAAAAGCAGGGGTCAGTAAACCACGTTCTAACCTCAGAGCTGTGGAACTATGGAATGCATCTGTCTTGTGAGCTAGTGAACTCTCCAACATTGAGAGTGTCAAATAGGCTGGGTGTCCTCCTGTCCAGGATTCCTGTCATTTTGTGATTCAGAGATTCCCATTTTATTTTCTCTACCAACAGGTCAACCAATCAATGCTTCAGACCGATAAGCAAATATGCATTCCCCCGGAGCTGCCCGAATTGCTGAAGCAATTTACCAAAGCCGCCATTCGGACCCAGCCCCAGGATCTCATCCAGTGGGCTGCGGAGTACGTACTCCTCCCTCGTTCCCATTGGAGGTGGAGATGGGTGGAGGAGGGAAGGTCTCCGAAAACTGTGAGGAGGTTGTCATGGCTGCAGCCTGGGAGTCGTGACTGATTAGCATAATTGTTTTCAGCTCTCGCATTGCTTTGGGGCTTTATACTCCACACACAAATCCGCCAAACTGGGTGAAGATGAGATGTCCTTAAGCGAACCAGACTGAGCATTAGGATCCCAGGGCAACAGGCAAAGCGTCCTGGGGCAATCAGCAAATTCGTTTATCACATCACATTCGCACTCTCACACTCCAGCGGATCCTTGCACCCCAGCCCCCAGCCCCCAGCCCCCAGCCCCCAGCCCCCAGCCCCCAGCCCCCAGCCCCCAGCCCCCAGCCCCCAGCCCCCTGTCCAGGAGAAAGAAAAGTTCAGAATCGCGGGAGCCTGGCGGGCCTTTCCCGTGTAAACTGGGGTCTCGTTCTCCAGCCTCACCACTAGATGGCAGCAGGGCACCTAGGGGAGGGCTGCGATCAGCCCGTGGGGTGAATTGTTTGGAACTAGTCCAAGCTGCTTCACTCCTTTTATTAGCCACTTTCCAACGGTGCTGTTAAAACTGCTCTTGCCCCAACCAGTGACTTTTGTACTTTGTCATGGGGGAAATTGTTATTCTCTTTCGTGTTTCTTTGAACTGATTCGTCCACACAGTACACATTATATTTTGGAGAAATGCGGCAAAACAGAATTATAAGGGCGGGAGATCTCCTGGCCTGGCTAAAAACAGTGTGCCTCAAACGCAGGTGCCCTCGGTTAGGCAGGTGCCCCCAGAGGCTGCTCAATGGGGGGAACTTACACAATAGCTGCTGGCCGGGGCTGAAACGGCTTTACACAGAAAGCCTCTGGGCTTCGACATTGCTTTTTAGACAAGGTGCCTCCTTGAAACTGGGGGACTGGGACGATTTGGGGCAGGAGTTGGGAACTAACCAGACCTCCTAGACCATTTTCAGGCTATTTTTTACTGTTTGATGGCCTCCAGTAGCGTTTCAGAAGCAAGAGAGGCTGTTGAGCAGAGCTGGTGGGTTGGGGGAAGGGAGAAGGTAAGGTCGTGTAGGTGTGCTGAGCATGGTGGGCAAGATGGACACCTGGAGAAGGCACACAGTGGAATCTAAGAGGAGGCTTCCAGGGGCTCTGAGCCAGTGCGCTTATGCTCCTGGGTTGGGCCATGCTGAGCTTTTACAAATGAAAGGAAAATAAGCCAGTGGTGCTCATAGACAGTGGTTGGTTTGTTAGTAATGAGGCCTGTTTGGTTCTCCATAAATTTTATGTATTATCTCTAATTCTGAATTTCAGCATCAGAAGACTGACTTCTTTAGGCATCTCAAGCAGACTTTGTTTTATACTATACAGTAGTTTAAAACCCCATTTTATTATTCCTGTGCTGCTGTTTTATAGCAAGAAAAATGACATCTTGGTATTGTCCCTGACATTTATGTAAGAAAACACTCCACTCTCGTAGCCAGCTTACTCTCGTATTGTATCATGTGCTTTAATTTTTTTAGCCATCCATGAAGAGTCAGTTCTGTAGTTCAACTGCAGTGAAAAAGGACAGCATGACCTAAGAGCACTCTCATATATTCAGACATTGAAAAGCTTTTAACAGATGGTTTTATGTGACTTACAAACCTGCAGCATTTTAGACCATAAAAATCCACAAAGTATTTCCAAGACAAAATAAATATTTAATTCATCACAAGCAAGAATCTCTTCACATGTGCTATCAATGAAGAAATGTTTTTCTTATAGTTATTTTGGGGCTCTGTCCCGCGGAGAGATTCCTTCAACGAGGGAGCAGTCTGAGCCAGTCCCTTCGTCTAACTGGGCAGAACTCACTCCTGAGCTGTTGAAGATGCTGCATTCTAGGGTAAGGGTCGAACTGCAGCAGCAAGTGGAAATGTGGGGACAATGTCAAGGCTGGGAGGTTACAGACAAAAAGCCCACCATCCCCCTGCCAAGTCAGCTGGCCACTCAGCATCATCTTAAAGTTCACTAAATCATACACTGAATGAAATTCTTCCCTGAGGAAAATAGCAATGGTATTGAAATGGGCAGTAAGCTGAGCTGTTAGTGGGGTCACCCCAGATTTCCCTGAAGCTGGTGGAATGTCCAGGGGCTCCATGCAATGCTAATCCCTTCTCTCCAGAAAGTGCAGGTCCATGCCCCTTGACAGTGTCTCTCTTACTGATCAAGATCATAATATGAGGACAATCATAGTTTGGGGAGGGGCATATTATCATTCTCAGTTATCCCAGGTGTGGACATAGCCCGGCTTTCAGGATAACCCTGGCTCTCTTTAGTGCCGCATCATCCTGGGAGCTGCCTGGTGAATGCATGAGGCAATATGGTTTAGCAGCACTAGACCCTGCGTTAGGATCCAGGACAGGGCAATTTGGGTGATTCAGGACGACTGAGAGGCTTAGCATCTCACTAGACTCAGGGGGCCTGCGGAGGTGTAGTAACGCTTCACTGGGGCATCTGTATCCTTGTCCCATTGTTGGCCAACAACTGGCCATTTGTTCCCCTTTTCTCTTAACCACCCAGTACCTTGTACTGTGGACATGGCAGAGATCTGGGGTAACTGGGACCAAATAACATGAAGCATCTAGACACGGACCCCATGTTATTCCTAGGAAAGGTGAGGGGTTGCCTGTGAAGTCTAGTGCAAAGAACTGGATGAAGTCTAGAAGCAAGAGATGTAACACCTCGTTCTAATTTCACCACCAATTTTGGTCTCAAACAGTCCTCTGCCCCTTGGTTTCATTTCAGGCTGCGCTATCTGCCTTACGGGGACAATAGCAGATAATAAAAGCATCAGAAAAAAATTAAAATAGAATATCAATTTACATTTGCTCATACTTCTGACATCTGAAGTTAAAATGATTAAATTATATCTTAGTGTATCTTTCATTGGCTGAGTATTTCTCTACCCTTGGCAAGGATAATTGCCAACCAGAGTCCCTTTTAACTCCTGACCCCCCATCTCTTACTGGGTGCTGGGAGAACACCCTGGGCCTCTCCTGGGCAGGTATTTCTCAGGGCATGCTCTCATCCTGCCCCTCATTCTCTGTCTTGTCTGTCTCCTACCCTGCAGGTTGGTGGCAGACTGATTGTCCATGTTAATGAGCTAGCCCAGATGTGGAAGGTGCTGCATCTCCCAACAGAGCTGTTTAATAGTGTGATAAATGTGGGCCGCTTCATGGAGGAAATTGAGTGGCTGAAGTTTTTAGCCCTTGCTTGCAGCTCTCTTGGTGTTGTAAGTTAGCTTTAATGCTTTTTGTCCTTAAGGGAAAGTCTCTCTCTAGGTCTGGAAGGGCAGTACATCTGTATACACTGAAGAAGAGGACCCCTCTTCTTGTCCCTCTCCTGTCTGAATTAGGTCATTTCTCGGCTCATCAGCCAGAATCAGGACTTAGGAGGAAAGAGAGGGGAAAACTGTCATCAGGCTCTGGGGAGAGGTTGACTAAAAGGTGGCTTCTGGATTATTTATGAATTTCAATCACTGCACTTAGATTTATTTCTATCACCACTCTACTCCCTCCATTCATATTCCTAGAGATAACAAGACCCAGCTGTGGAATAAGATTTGCTTACACTTGGGTTCCAGTTACCTAGAAAATATACATGAGAGACTTTTACAAAGAGGTGCAGCTTTATATAAAACTATTTGATAAGCATAATTGGATAAAAAATCAGAGATAAGAGAGCAGGAAAGGAGAGATGAGGCTGTGTCTACACTTACAGTCATGACATCATCATGGATGCATTATGCTCAGACAAGTTTATGCCATTTCCAGATTTGACTTGGTTTACAATTGGAACAGCCATTTACCTGTTTTAAAGAAAAAAAATACTGTAACCACTCCGTATATATATTTAAAAGCTTTAGGTATCTTATATGTGACTCAGTCTTGTTAAATACTGTTATAACTTAAATGAGAATTAATCAGAAACATGGTTGTTGTTTTTTAAATCCCTGAAATACATACCAGTTTAAAAGTTAATGAGAAAATGATTGCCTCTGCCAAAACCAAATGGTATGAAAAGGTAGTTTGAATCATTCAGCATATCTACATGCGATCTTATCCTTTCTCCTCGAATTGGTTGAAATATGCATATTTGGCATTTTTGTTTCTGGGAAAAGGTAGAAGAAATACTGTAGTCCACCTTTTCCTATGGGTTTCCCTGCCACTTTCATCATCGCCATTTTTTTTAGAGAGGAGGAGAGAGGCCATTTATGGTTTTTTTCTCTTGGTTGTTCTTTATGGCAATATTATATAATGAATAAATACTCTCCTCCAGAGGACAGGGAAATGCAGTGGGGGAGTTGCCACTCAGCACCATCACACTTCTGTGGAAACAGCCTCAAGGACTGGGGGAAAACACAGAAGGGAAAATAAAAAGTTGAGTTTTATCAATAAAAGTCTTATAGGGTCATGATTGTATTCATACCACATTCAGAGATGTTCGGGGGCTTGGGGGCAAATTATTTTATCTGTAGTTAATTGATTTTCCTGATCTACCCCACCTACAAAGCATCAAGTAAGAAAATAAGTAGATTTAATCCAATTCAGAAATTTTCATCTGATACAATAAGTGAAAGGGCTTTAAGGCAGATAGTCCAGTCTCTCAGTTTTCTCCTCAATGTCCCTCTCTTTAAGACAGCAGCTGAGCCCTGGCCAGGTGGCTCGGTTGGAGCATTGTACCTTGCACCAAAAGGCTGCAGGTTCGATTCCCAGTCAGGGCACATACCTGGGTTTCAGGTTTGAACCCCAATCGGTGTTTCTCTCTCACATCGATATTTCTCCCTCTCTCTAAACATATCCTCGGGTGAGGATTAAAAAAAAAAATGACAGCTGAAAATTGGCAGTTACTAAATAGTCATGGGGATGTGAAGTACAGCATAGGGAATGTAGTCAATATTATAATATCTATGTGTGGTGTCGGGAGGTACTAGACTTATTGGGGGGAATCACACCATAAATTATGTCTAACCACTATGCTGTACATTTGAAACTAATATAATATTAAATGTCAACTGTACTTGAAAAATAAAAAATTTTCAAATCTGTTGTTAAAAAAAAGATGGCAGTTGAGTGTATTAGAAAAGGGGTGACTCTAGGACCCTGGAACCCCCAACTGCAGGGTTTCCCACATCCCTTGGCCCTCTCTGGCGCCTCTGATCTGCCTGGAAGTAAATATTCATCTTTGTGCTTGCTAACTGTTTGCAAGTTAAGTCTTGAGTCTCTCCTCTCTCATAGCACAGTAGTCCCACCAGCTCATCTGCATTCTTGCTGGTGCTCAGGGCCTCCCGGAGTCTCTGCCAGATTGCCCTCATCTGCTCCCCGGCTTCAGTGGCCTACTTCACAACCCCTTACCACTGCTTTGCTTACTGTGCAGCTGCTAGGTTCACTTTGATATGGTTTGCCTCCCAAATTAGGAAGGGAAAACCACAAAGTGAATTGTATCTTCTACCTCCCTGCCAAATGATGAGGTTAGATGAGATGTTCCATGAGGTTCTTTCATCTCTTACATTCTGTGATTCTATTCCCCTTTCTCTGCTTCTTCTGTGACACCCCCAGGTCTAGCTCTGGATAACAAAGGACCTCTCCAATTCTGGGAGGTCCTGAGATGGATGACTTTGCCCCTCATCATTTCTGTGTCAAAGAACATCCAGAGGTGAAGTCAGCTTGAAGTTCTAGTCCGTGAATAAAGGGTGCTGTGTGAATCCAGGAACCAATACTGTTATACCCATCTGCTTCATGTTAGACTATTGCTGGGAATTTAAATGTGGGGGTGGTGAGGGTTTGCATCCTTGTTCATCCATATATCCTTAGAGGCAAGCCCAGAAATCCCTCCTTTCTCTGCCAACTCACCAGCCAGCCATGATTGCTGCACCATTTAGAAAATCCAGTTTCCTCCTTCCACAAGAGTCTAATGGCAGGAATTTTAGGTAGCAGGTCCCTTTACTCCAGTCTTGAGCTCTCTCAGTCTACACACATGGTTCTGAATGCTACACAAGGACCTGTATTCCTCTTGCCTTCCGGCACTCACCCCTTCCAGAATAGCCTACACCACCTCCTGTTCCACCGAGACCAATTATATAAAAGAAGACATTGTGTGATGGTGTTCACTGAAAGGAATGACATATCTTGTTAGCAAATAATTCACTTTCTGAGACTTTCAACTGAAAGTTTGAAAATGAGGCTCGTCAGATGCTGAAAGGCTGTCTCTGTGAAGTGGATCACCATCTGACCAAAGAGTCTGTGCCCCAGAACGCAGATTTGTTTACTCTAGATTCAAGGGTATCAGAAAGCTCCAGTCCAGGAAGTTCTTTATCCATCCATTTATTAAATCTTTTTAAATCTTATGATGGCAGTAGAATTTGAAGGTTGGTTGAATGATCAATAAAAGATGTTTGGGGTAGAAAACATCTATATTAGTTTGCTAGGGCAGCCATAACAAAGTACCGCAGACTGGGTGGCTTAAACAGAAACTTTTCTCACAGTTCTGGAGGCTGAAAGTCTGAAATCAAGGTGTGTCTGAGGCCACACATTTGGCTTGTAAATGGCCAATGTCTCCCCCTTTCTTCACCTGGTTGTCCCTGTGGCATGCATGTATCTCCTCTCTCTCTCCCTCACCCTCTCTCTCCTGATCTCCTCCTCTTATAAAGACTCCAGACCTATTGGATCATGGCTCACTTTAATGACTTCATTTTAACGTAATTAACCTATTTAAAGGCCCTATCTCCAAATATGAGTTGGGGCTTCAACATGTGAACTTTGGGCAGACATAATTCATCTCATAACAGCACCTCAATTTGAATGAGCCTGTAGGAGAACAACAGGACAAAGGCAGTACAAGAGCAGGTTTTTGTTTGTTTGTTTTGTTTTGTTTTGTATTTTAAGAGAAGCAGAGGGAATGAACTATGGATGGAAATACAAGGTTCAGTGCACACATGCTGGCAAATCTATCCAAAACCATTGTCATGCCAACCTCACATGCATGTTCTCCATTCTACTGACAGCCCCTTACCCACCTTCTCATTTGCCTGGCCTCCCACCCTCCGCCTTGGTAACGCCTGGCACACGCCTCATTCAGACCTCACAGCCATTTCTAGGAGAGGCCTCCCACCCTCCGCCTTGGTAACGCCTGGCACACACCTCATTCAGACCTCACAGCCATTTCTAGGAGAGGCCTCCCACCCTCCGCCTTGGTAACGCCTGGCACACGCCTCATTCAGACCTCACAGCCATTTCTAGGAGAGGCCTCCCACCCTCCGCCTTGGTAACGCCTGGCACACGCCTCATTCAGACCTCACAGCCATTTCTAGGAGAGGCCTCCCACCCTCCGCCTTGGTAACGCCTGGCACACACCTCATTCAGACCTCACAGCCATTTCTAGGAGAGGCCTCCCACCCTCCGCCTTGGTAACGCCTGGCACATGCCTCATTCAGACCTCACAGCCATTTCTAGGAGAGGCCTCCCAAGGGCAGGAAATAGCAAAAGAAAGTGGCTTGCTACAAACCTAAAGTTTGACATCATGTAGTATAGCTTTTGAAAACTCATGGACATTGAAGATTCTTTTTCATAAAACAGCCATGTTTGTAAATGTCAAAGAACAAAATTTAAATATTAAATCAATTATAATTAATTAATGTGCAAATAATGTCTAAATCACCTGCCATCGGGTAAAATTGTCACTCCAGGAAGGTGGCCAAGTTTAATCGGCATCTTCACATACCTCCTGACATACAGACTTACATCCCTGGGTAATACACGCCACAGTTACAGAAACACCATCTCGACGACATTCATAATGCTCAGGGAGAGGGAGGGAACCGAACAGCAAACAAGCTGCAAACCAGGGACGGCTGGCTAGCCCCAGGGGAGTTACAGTGGTGGCTGCTTCTTTCACCCAGTTCAACACTTAGGACTCCCTTTCCCCTGATCCCTGGAGAGCATGGAAGGAGAATCTACACATCATCTCTTTTTGTAAACCACAAGATATTTATGCTGACCTGTCTTTGCTAACTCAGAGCTAAACAATCTTTTCTTTGAATCATTTCTTTCCTTTATCCCATCATTTCACACCACTTTTACTTGTGAAATTTATTCAAAGGGTAGGTATATTTAAAGACAAAGATAAGTAAAACCTCAGTTCTGAACATGATCCTTTAATGTTCAAGTTTCATTGTAAGGAGTGTTTCCTTCTGTAGCAACCCTTCCATTAAAAGGTCTGCATTCATCATCTACTAATTTTTCCCAGCAATAGTGCAGTAGGTGATTCTGATTATATGGATCCACATGTCTTAGAAGAACTATTTTTATTGTGATGTTCTGTGTCACTTTTCCTGAATCTGGGACTCTTATCTCCCTAGGGGCATTACCCTTCTTCTCTCCTCCTGTGGCATTTGCTCCAAGTATCTGGCTAGACTAATCACCTCATCCCCTTGGAGAGACTGGTGAACAATAAGAATAATAAATCAATTTTATAGAATGCAAATCAAATTCTCGAGTAAGGTTGTTCTGATTAAAATCATAAATATTTTAAAGTATTCAGCAGTTCATAAACTTAGTATCCCTCCAACAAAGAAAAGGAAAATAAAAAAAGATACTCGGGAGATCAAGATTTTTTTTATTGCCTTGGCTGGTTTGGCTCAACAGTTAGAACGTTTGCCTGTGGTCCAGAGAGACCTGGGTTCAGTTCCCGCTAAGGGCACGTGCCTCGGTTGCAGTTTGTCCCCGGCCCTGGTTGGGTCGTGTGGGTGGCAGCCACTCGATGTGTCCCTTTCACATCGATGTTTCTCTCTCTCTCTTCCTCCCACTCTATCTGAACAAAAAATAGAAAAGTGTCCTTGGGTGAGGATAAAAAAAAGATTTTTTAATTGAATTAAGTAACATTTGGGTATGCAAAATTCAAACTTGCCAGGATATTATATCTAAACTGATCTTAGGAATCTATTCCAGAATAGTGACTTTCTCCTGATTTAATCTTATGGCTTTATAGACCATTTCCAAAACTCTCCAGATAGCGTGTGAAGTTTTATCATCTGATCACGATGGTGGACCTGCCCGGATCCCTTTTAGCACCTTCCAGTTTCTCTACACGTATATTGCTGAAGTGGACGGGGAGATCTCCGCATCACATGTCAGCCGAATGCTGAACTACATTGAACAGGAAATGTAAGTAAACTTCTACCAACTGGAGGGGAAAGAATATGAGAAAAATAAATCTAGCAGGCCTAGGTATTCAGAGGTTACTATATTATACTGCTCTGGAAACAGAGAAATATTGTGGAGAATAAAAGATAAGGATCCAAAAGAGAAGGGGATGGAATGGTCCTGAGCAGTGATTCTGAGTTGCAGCACAGCGCCACCTGGGAACCTGTTAGACATGCAAGTTCTCAGGCTACACCCTGAACCTACTCGATCAGTAGCTCGGGGGCAGGGCCCAGGCACCTGTGTCTTAGCAAGCCCTCCAGTTGATGCTGGCTTGAGTTCAGGGTTCACCAGTGGGGTAGGAGTGGAGGAGAGCAGGCAGTCAAGAGTTAAGGGAAAAGGAGGGTGATGAGGGCAGGAACCACAGCAGAATTCATTCAGAGAGTTTATATATTCTTTCTTAAGATAAATTGTTAAATGGACTAACCTCAGATATATATTTTTTCCCAAACAGAATCGGTCCTGATGGTTTAATCAAGGTGGTTGACTTTACCCAAAACCCTAGGGTTCGGTTGGAGTAAAAGCACAATTTTGGAATTTTAAAGGGAGATACAGAGGTGACTGTGCTTCAGAATAGCTGAACTCCACACACCATCTGACGCCCATTTTCTTGTACAACTGGTACTCACTAATAAACAATTTGGCAAACATATGAAATCAGAAGCGTGTGAAATTAAGATGTAAAATTATGGAGACAAAACACATTAAGCCCAGCCGGTGTGGTTCAATTGGTTGAGTGTTGTCCCATGCACCAAGAGGTCACAGGTTTGATTCCCAGTCAGAACACACGCCCAGGTTGCAGGCTTGATCCCGAGTAGGGGGCGTGCAGGAGGCAGCCAGTTGATGTTTCTATCTCTCTCTCCCTCTTCTTTCTTTTCTCTCTAAAAAAAAAAAAAAAAAAAAAAATCAATGAAAACATATAGATATTTTTAAAAACCCACATTAACAAAAGATTAGTATTCTCCCCACATGGGCACTTTGTAAAAGTGGCTGGGAAGCATGGATAGAAAATGCATCTCAAAACAACACCAGACTGTCAGGTTTTCAAAGATAGAATATTAACCAGAAAAAGTTTTGATGTTTTGTTATTGTTAGGCATAACTTAGATAAGTTTCTTTTTCAATGGTCAATCCATATTTTTACCAGTTTATTTTTCCATTTGTTGGTGCGATTCTAGTCATTCATTCATTTACTCACTCACCAATATGTACTGAGGTAGGCTATATGCCAGGGACAGTATTGCCAGATAAAATACAGGACATTGGTTAAATCTGAATTTTGGATAAACAAATAATATTTTCATTTCCCCCCTAAATTTGTCAACCCTAGGCAGGAACTGTGCTGGCTTCTGGACATAAACAAATAAATCGTATTTGAATTCTGCCCTCAAGGAGTTCACAGTTTAACACTAAAATAAGAAAGAAACTTAAATCACTTTAATCCGAATGACCCTCAGAGGTACTAATGAAGTGTTTCAGACATCAGCATTGAGGTCAATGTCAACAGATTTTTCTGACACCATATACAGATGTAATGGGACCCTCTTGGGAAAACCCCCTGCATGAGCTTAAGACTGGCTGACAAGGTCACAGAAAGGTTTTCCTTTCTTCCATGAAACAGATGAGATTAACAGGCCTTGGGGTTATTGTTCTTAAAGCCAGGTGTATCAAAGTTGCTGGGTCCCTTCTATCTGTAATACTACCCCCTCTTAAAAGTTATATTTGTATAAAAATCATGTTAGCTTGCTTTTTTATACATATCTCTCTCTCTACTGAATCAGGGAGAACTTTGTCTATTAGTGTCTAAATAAGTAAAAGAAGATTGTGATGGAATATCACCATAGGCCCTTGATTTCGAGCTACAGTAAAACAACACAAAGAGCTGAAACATATTCTATAACCATAGTCATCCAACTACACCTGAAGGGGCATGGCAACAACTAAGATGGCTGTCTGCCATCTTAGCCACAGTGGCCCATCATTTATATCTACTCTGGGACCTTAGGCTGTTTGCAAAGGCTAAACACTGTAGGCGAACCTGGCAGTGTAATTAATCAGGGTGAGAGAATGAATGAAATCCTTTAAAATCTGCCTCAGTCTCTCAGTTTCTCTTTCACTGTGATCAAAGAACTTAAACATGATCTTGCCTGAAAAGTGAAGGGGAGCGAAGGGAACAACAACCCCATTTGAAAGAGCTTATGACAGCAAATTAAGTTCATAAACATAACAAAAGCAATGTTTCTTTGGCAATGTTTCCTCTAAGTCATTGATATTGCTAAGCCCTGTACACCCATCAGACACCCAACCCTGCTTCAGTAGTCACCCCGAGGGTGGAAAACAGCTTTGCCCCAAACCTGCACTATGCTGTATTAACAATATTATGAATATGTTATTAATAATAGTCAACATTTATTAAGTATTTACTAAGTACAATACGTCACATACATTCTCAAATATTTTTTTAACCTGATCTGATGAAGTCATGTTTTATCTCCATTCTATAGATGAAACAGTCTTAAAGAAATTAAGCTGTTCACTGTCACTGGTAAGAAGGAATTCAAATTCAGGTTTGCCTGACTCCAAACTTGTATGCTCAATGCCTATCTTAGTATGGAGTACCCCCACCATTACCCCGCAAAACAGCCTCTGAAACAAGGATTTAAGTGCAAGCAGTTTAGTATTTGGGAGGCAATCCCAGGAACAGGGGAAAGGGAGAAGGAAAAGTAAGTAATGTGAAGAAAGCTAACAGAGCGTGTGCTATCAAGCCAGCTATCCCTGGAGCCCAAGCCTTCTGGAGGACTCTGGGAGACACTGTAGAACGTGTCAGAATTATCCCAGCCTGAGGGATGAGGGAGCCCTTTATTATCTGCTAAGGGCTTCCTCACCAAGTTCCATCTGTCACTGACTAGAGGCCACTTCCAGGGGTATTAACTTTCTGGCATTTCCAGTTTGCCCAGCTCATGACCTGAGCTTGCTTCCTTTGCTCCAGAAAAGAAAGTGCCCAGGTAAGAAGTCTTAGGTGTTCACAATAAGCACATGGATTGGGACACCACCAACATCTGCTGCAATGCCTTACATAGATTTTAATGAGACAAATTTTTAGATTACTAATCACTATCATTTCTCAACTTGGGTCAGGCACAAGCCCATAAGGGCTGTAGGGCAATAACTGACCAACACTATGTATTGGGAGGCAATCCCAGGAACGGGAAATCATACTATATTGAAATCACACTTGACCCTCAAACCTGGCACATTGTCCCAAACCAACGCTTTCTTCACTGTAATGAGATCCTTCCAAAGGGGCTCTTTTAGTCCCTGTGGCCAATAGACCCTTGTCAGACCCATCCCACTATCCTTCCACTCGTGACCAGAAATATCTGAATCCTAGTATGACCCAAGTTAAGCTGTCAGACTGAGGCCCCTGTAACATATGGTTTGTATTTCTCCTTTAAAAAGAAAAAACACTCAAAAAGAAGCAATAAAATCAGGATTTTACAAAGAAAAAGAAGTTGGCTCTTTCTTTCCTAAATTAAGCTATTTTGATTAAAGTGAAGACTGCAGATACATTTAAAGCTTCAGTGGGAAATGCAAAGATTATGACTCAATTCCATTTTCTCTGTGCTCCGTGTCTTTTCTCTCCTTGCTGTTCAGTCAGGCACCTCACTATCCCTAGTTAATCAACAACTTCCAAGACCACCAGGGCCCTGAAACAGAAGGAGCTGGACACTCAAGTGTGGAAAGTTGGTCTTGAATTAGGTAAAAACAGTATTCTTAACCTGAAATCCTTGGAGAGGCTCCTGAATGCTTCTGATATATATATTTCAGACAGGTGCACATTAATGTTTTCTGAGAAAAAAAATACAAAGCTTTTTAGCAAATTCTCAAAATGGTATATCATCTCAAAAGGTTTAAGAACTGGTGGGTTAGAAATAATTCCGGGAGACACCAAATGACTTGAAGAAAGCAACAGGGCAATCTCAGATCCTTTCAAGCAGATCTGAGCTCATGCTCCCAACATTTAATTTATTATCCAGTATACAGCTTCTTACTTTTTGAATCTTGTATCCTGGTTGTAAATCTTAACTGTGTTTTTAGTTTAGATTTTCATATTCTTTGCAACACTGGTTGTTTCCTATAAATTGGAGCATAGTTAAATATGAACAGCCCTGGTCAGTTTTTCTCAGTGGTTAGAGCGTCGGCCAGCACACAAATGAGTCACGGGTTCGATTCCGGCCAAGGTCGCATACTTCAGTTGTGGTTCATCTCTGGCCCTGGCCTGGCCATGCAGAAGGCAACCAGTCGATGTGGCTCTATCACATCAATGTTTCTCTCTCTCCCTCCCTCCCACTCTATCTGATGATAAATGGAAAAGTATCCTCGGGTGAGGAATAAAAATAAATAAATAAATAAATAAATAAATAAATAAATAAGAACAGAGACTTCTTTCACACTTCAGAGGTGAGCCAATTGGAAAAGCCATGGTCCAATGCACTAAATTATAAAACACTGCCTCAACCAAGCACAGTCATTAACCATGATACTAGAAGGACTTAAACATCCCTATCAGGCTCAAACAAGTGAGTCCTGGACAATCCTGAGTCTCAGAGCATTCAAGTGGTTATCAGCTCCAATGCATCAAAGCAGTCCAAACACTGACTGGTTCATTTATTTACTCGACAGTTAAAAAATCCCTATTAGATGCAAGGCATTGTGCTATGTATTGGGATACTATACTAAGATAAGGTCCCTGCTTTCAGAGACTAAATTCTACTTGGGAAGACAGACATTAAACAACTAATCATACCAGTGAAAAAGTGGTGTCATAACATTCTAGTATTGGGGCACATGACCTGGTTTCCAGGAATGGGACAGAGATATGGAAGGAAAGGCTTTCTTAAGGAAGTAACCTGAACACGAACTCAGAAGCCTATGGCTTCAGTTCGCACAGATGACTCAGAAATGTGTATCTGTAACTGATCCCTCTCCACCAACCTCTAAACACAATTATCCAATCGCCTTCTTGATATCTCTTGGATGACTCGAAGGCATCCCTAATCAATATGCCCCAAAATGAGTTCCTAGTTTACATTTTTTATAATAAAACATTGGGAGAAATGATTTAATAAACTTCCCTACTAAATATGGATCTCCCCCATCACCCATCCAGATACAAAATCTAGAAACCAAGGTTAACATAAATACCTCCTAAATCTTCACCAAATCTTGTTCATTTTACCTCCTATAGTGAAGCACATCTGTCCTCTTTATCTTCCCTCACCCCATCCTCTTCTCCCAGCTACCAACATATTTCCTCTGGACAATATGGTGACTTTGAGTCTCAACATGGTAGGAAAAAAAGGCCTTCAGCCAAGATTTTAAAGATAATTTAAAAATTAATAGGGATGTAGATGAGGAAACCAACAAGGAATGTTGAGGCAGAGATTAACAAACCATCCTTTCACAATAAGAGGAAAAAAGCACTCAGCAAACTAGGAATAGAAAGAAACTACTTCAGCCCT